CGTCCGTCCGTCCAGCCAGCCAGCAAAAGCTCTCTTGTGACCACAATTTTTAGCGGAGGCAATGAAAACAGGAATTAACAGTACGGTAATTCCCACATACAGCAAAATAATCCCTCCCTCTGCCCGCGTGATATAATCTAGGTAGTTAATGCATTAAAGGAATTCCACAGCCAGAAGAAACACCCCTTTGTAAAGTCCTATGGCAATCACCCAGAAACATAACATATCCCCAGAATCTTACATCCCCTGACAAAATTCTGGATCTGGGTGGACAACATATCCAAAAATCACCCGGTCGGATCAGGGGTTCAGAAATTCTAAGGAAGCCGTAGTTTCCTAGTTCCAGGCGTAACGAGGATTTCATGCCCAAAAAGAGTTCCAGACAGGAATCGCTGGCGTCAGCTGGGGACCCCACCGGAACCGCGAGGTTTTAAGTGTTTAAAATAGTTCCAGGGCGCTCTCGCTTCGCCAGGTCCCTCTGAAGTCTAGTGGCGGTTTTAGCCTATGCCAAATAAGTCGGTTGCCACCACGCTGCTCGAATGTCGAATGGCGCTACTTCGACTGTTCGGGAGTTCAAGAACCAATGTTTAAAGTCCCATTAGGCACAATTAGGGTCTCTCTGCCGAAATAAATGAAAGGGGCCATAGTCACAGGGTAAGAGGCTGGCAAGTAGTCCTCTCCAAAGCCCAGTGGCTTTCGTCACATGTCGCAAATATCGTCGTGACTGCGAGCCGCAAGCCGTCACTGCCCAGCTCATCCTCGCTAGTATAGTGGTGAGTATCCCCGCCTGTCACGCGGGAGACCGGGGTTCGATTCCCCGACGGGGAGTGCTACTTTTATTTCCTTTGGCCGCCTCCTCCTCTAATATGAACAAGACGCGAGAGCATTCGCTTGTGTGGATCAGCATGAACGCCGGGCCCCCCTGCCGTGGCCGGTTAGCTCAGTTGGTTAGAGCGTGGTGCTAATAACGCCAAGGCCGCGGGTTCGATCCCCACACGGGCCAGTTGCTTTTTCCCTCCAGCGATGGTTTAAGCGTCCGTCCGTCCGTCCAGCCAGCCAGCAAAAAGCTCTCTCAGACCACAATTTTAGCGGAGGCAATGAAAACAGGAATTAACAGTACGGTACTCCCACATACAGCAAACAATCCCTCCCCTCTGCCCGTGATATAATTCAGGTAGTTAATGCATTAAGTGAATTTCCACAGCCAGAAGAAACACCCCTTTTTGTAAAGTCCTATAAGTACCCAGAAACATAACATATCCGTAAATCTTACATCCCCTGACAGCCCTGATCTGGGTGGACAACATATCCAAAAATCACCCGGGTCGGATCAGGGGGTCAGAAATTCTATGGAAGTCATAGTTTTGCCCAGGCGAACGCAGGATTTCATGCCCAAAAGAGTTCCACAGAATCGCGGCTAAGTGCCGCTGGGGGACCGACCGGGAACCGCGAGGTTTCCATGTCGAAAATAGTTCCAGGGCGTTCGCCGCCAGGTCCCCCTGAAGTCTAGTGGCGGTTTTAGCCTATGCCAACAAGTCGGCTGCCACCACGCGTTCGAATGTCGAATGGCGGCCACTTCGACTGTTCGGGAGTTCGAAGAACCAATGTTTAAAGTCCCAATAGGCACAATTAGGGTCTCTCTGCCGAAATAAATGAAAGGGGCCATAGTCACAGGGTAAGAGGCTGGCAAGTAGTCCCCTCCAAAGCCCAGTGGCTTTCGTCACATGTCGCAAATATCGTCGTGACTGCGAGCCGCAAGCCGTCACTGCCCAGCTCATCCTCGTTAGTATAGTAGGAGTATCCCTGTCAGCGGGAGACCGGGTTCGACTTCACGGGAGTGCTACTTGGCTTTGGCCGCCCTTCATTATGCACAAGACGCGAGCACTGGGCCAGGTGATCAGCATGAACGCCGGGCCTTCTGCCGGGCCGGCTAGCTCAGTTGTTAGAGAGACAGCATAACGCCAAGGCCGCGGGGTTCTGATCCCACATCGGGCCAGTTGTTTCCCTCCAGCGATGGTTTAAGCGTCCGTCCAGCCAGCAAAAAGCTCTCTCAGACCACAATTTTAGCGGAGGCAATGAAAACAGGAATTAACAGTACGGTACTCCCACATACAGCAAACAATCCCTCCCCTCTGCCCGTGATATAATTCAGGTAGTTAATGCATTAAGTGAATTTCCACAGCCAGAAGAAACTCCCCTTTTTGTAAAGTCCCATAAGTACCCAGAAACATAACATATCCCCGTAAATCTTACATCCCCTGACAGCCCTGATCTGGGTGGACAACATATCCAAAAATCACCCTGGTCGGATCAGGGGTTCAGAAATTCTATGGAAGTGATAGTTTTGCCCAGGCGAACGCAGGATTTCATGCCCAAAAGAGTTCCACAGAATCGCGGCTAAGTGCCGCTGGGGGACCGACCGGGAACCGCGAGGTTTCCATGTCGAAAATAGTTCCAGGGCGTTCGCCGCCAGGTCCCCTGAAGTCTAGTGGCGGTTTTAGCCCATGCCAACAAGTCGGCTGCCACCACGCGTTCGAATGTCGAATGGCGGCCACTTCGACTGTTCGGGAGTTCGAAGAACCAATGTTTAAAGTCCCACTAGGCACAATTAGGGTCTCTCTGCCGAAATAAATGAAAGGGGCCATAGTCACAGGGTAAGAGGCTGGCAAGTAGTCCTCTCCAAAGCCCAGTGGCTTTCGTCACATGTCGCAAATATCGTCGTGACTGCGAGCCGCAAGCCGCCACTGCCCAGCTCATCCTCGTTAGTATAGTGGTGAGTATCCCCGCCTGTCACGCGGGAGACCGGGGTTCGATTCCCCGACGGGGAGTGCTACTTTTATTTCCTTTGGCCGCCTCCTCCTCTAATGTGCACAAGACGCGAGAGCATTCGCTTGTGTGGATCAGCATGAACGCCGGGCCCCCCTGCCGTGGCCGGTTATCTCAGTTGGTTAGAGCGT